CTTCTACTCCACATATAACACACGGTCCAATAAGTTTCTTCTGCAAATACTGCTTTGAAATTTCCATTATAATATTCAGGATTGCTTATTTTAAAATATGTAATTAGCAGGATTATTTTCGTTAATATGTTGTAAATGACGTCTACGATAATAGTATCGTAGTTTTTTTTATCATTACATAAAATAATTATCAAAAATCCAACGCCAATATACTACTTTAAACTATATAAATAGTTACATTACACATTTATTATATAACAGCCAATTATGCAAATGTCTGGTATGCTATTTTATGTCGTATCTAGAGATGATAATGGATGTGATACCAAAGATATCTATTCTGTAGCCTCAAAAGAGATTGATGGAGTAGAAATAATACTGCTGAGAAATTCCTTTGTTAATTTTTGCTCTATAATCTGACTTTTAGTAAACTCAATATCATCATCATTATTTTCCTGAGATGTAGTAATGACCAGAATATTTTTTTGCTGATCGTTATGATTCATAACAGAATTTTCATTTTTTTCCAACTATTTATAAATTTTTATATTAAAATAAATTTACAAGAAGTTGCAATCAAGTTGCAACTTACCGAGTTGCAATTTCTTAATTATAGTGCTCATCTTTACCCTTCACAGAAGAAATATCCTGGGAAATTGAGGATGCCTCTTGATTAGCCAATTTATACAGGAGTTTTTTTTCCCTATTGCACTATCTAATCTCATTACTAATCTTTTTCTTATGCATCTCATTTAAGAAAGCATTCGTTTCTTTATCTTTCAAGAATATCTGATTACATTTGTCTATAATAGGTATATTAACAGCTGGCTCTAGTAACCCTTCTGGTATCAGTACTTCAGGTAATAAAGTATCCATTTCTATAGGTAACTAATCTACAAGCAAATTAAAGTTAGACAAGCTATTATTAAAAGAATTGGTTACCTAAGAAATATTATCACTTAGCATCTGCCTCTGCTTCACTTTCATGATCCTATCTCTAAACTAAGTATTTTCAGATTCAAGTTTAGTGGTAGTTGTCTTATTTTTCTCCAGCTCCACTATTATGACATTAAGCTTACCAATCTTAACTGAATAATGTGATATAGTTTTCTCCAGCTAATCAGTTCTGGCCTTAAGCTCCTGTTTTAGCTTCATTTTCTCAACTTCATTCTCAGTAACCTTCTTTCTAAGTTCGCCAATCTTGGTTAAAAGCTTAGCATTTAATTCCTTTATTAAATCATTGGATTGAGTGCTTGATATGATCAATTAAATTTTATACAAAAATGGAAATATTCAAAAGTTCTTTAGTATTTAAAATTTAAAAATTTACGTGATATCCCTTTTCAAAATGATTTTTATTAATACATACGAATAATAAATACAAAGTTCGAGACTTTACCCATGATACATGACAATTTTTTCTGTATTATTGTTTATTCTACAGTTTAACTAACCACTTGACATTTATATGACTTGGAAATTTATCTTACATTCTTTACAAAAAGACTATAAAATACATATTTATTAATGATAAGAAGCTAGGATTACAAGAAATCACAATATAGGAATTTGTTAAATAATAAATTCTTACATATTATATTTATCTAGCAAGTTAGAATATTTGAGCTGTTCCTTCTTAAAAAGCTTTCTCTTCTTTTTTGTGTTCACCTAACTTGCCATCTCGAAGTTAATTAGGTAAATGTCACTGTTATCATTAATTAAGATATTTTCCTTCCGAATATTATTGTGAAGGATACCATGCTTGTGGATTTCTTCTAATCCCTTAAGAGTCTTAGACTTTTGCTGTTTCATAATTTTATGCTCGCTCAACGTTATACCAATAATGGTCATACTGAAGATGAAACACATACCTCTTCTATAATATCCATAACATCCATAACAGACCAACTTTAGAATAAACTTACCTTAAATGTCAGCAAGATCCTTATAAATCTCGACTTCTTTTTACATTTCTTCTAGGACATACGATGTAGAGCCCACGGGTTCGTGCGATGCAAAATTAAAAATTATGCATTTTAAAATTACTAAAAATGCAAAATATGCAAA